TGAAGGAAGAATGGCTTCTCCAGGAATTTTGCATTTCTTCCAAATGAGATCCCAATTATTTCTGTCCTCGTGTAAGTAAGAACAAAGTGATGATCACAAGGAGAACACACATCTCTCATGCATCCCTAATATGTAATCAGGCGGAACGTCAAGCTTGATTTGCGCTGACACCCGCAAGCGATAAATATGTAAACAAAAGATGCGTCTTTCATTCAAAAATTAGAAGGAAGCAGACGATAACAGCAGAATGCAAACAGCAGCAGGATCTGTAGCGTGCTCAGATTGAAGGAGTCACCGCCTCGGGAGCAAGTTGATCAGAAACGCGTTTGATGAGGATGTTTTTACGCAAGTAATTATTATGAAAGTGTAAATTTGGTGCCGACACATCTGGCTTCATAACAGAGCAGCTGTGAGTGGTGATGAGGAGGGGATGTAAAGCGGGGAGGAGGAGATGGAGGAGCAGCGTGGACAGCACGACGCTTATTGGGGTCAACAGAGGGCATTGTTATCTGTAATATCCATTCAAATATGCCGTATCAGATGCATTGAGCGCGCCGCTGTTCAGGGATGGAAATTAGTCTTGTCTCCCTACTAAGGCCTGGTCACACACAGGGCGGATTCAAACAAATGAATTTACTCAGTCAATACATATGGAACGCTGATGAATACAGAGGCCTGCTCTCACTTCTGTCCTCACAATGCTAAACAACGCTCAGCATTTTATTTTTTCCTCCTCGCTTCAGGGTGACTTTCACATTTCTTTTCAGCGTTCAGTTTGTGCAATGCTACTTTGGTTCCGTTTGGTGGGGAAATAAAATGAGTGAAACAGCTGAAACTAAGGCGAAAACACTAATAACTAGCTGCTAATTGACTGGCAATGGCTCCTTTGAAGCTGCTATAGCAAATTAGAAAACAATATAGCTGGAAAAGTTTCATTTTTGAGACTCTTAACAATGTCCTAACATAGCATAATGTTAATAGCAATAATGTATTGTGGAGATGAAAAGATTAAAAAAGTGGTTCTCTGGCATTTGTCTAAAAACCTTTGCCAATAAAAGAGCTCAGACAGAAACAGCAATTGGACCATCTGTTTGTTGGTCTCACCAAACCACCGCACTTCCTGGGTCCTTCGTTCATTATGCACTTGTGTATTTAGCAACAACATCACTGGTGTTAGAGGTTCTCCACTCAATATTACCATCAATCCATCCATCAAATTCTGCACCTAGAAATCCTGTCCATAAAGGTTATGAACAGAATCGGTGACAAAGGGCAGCCTTGGCGGAGTCCAACTCTCCCTGGGAACGAGCCCAACTTACTTCCGGCAATGTGGACCAAGCTCTGACATCGGTCATACAGGGACCTAACAGCCCGTATCAGAGGGCCTGGTACCCCATACTCCCGGAGCACCCCCCACAGGGCACCTCAAGGGACACGGTCAAACGTCTTTTCCAAATCCACAAACACATGTAGACTGGTTGGGCAAATTCCCACGCACCCTCCAGGATCCCCCTAAGGGTATAGAGCTGGTCCAGTGTTCCACGGCCAGGATGAAAACCACATTGCTCCTCCTGAATCTGAGGTTCAACAATCCGACATCCCGAACCCGATGGTGGACACCGGCAGTTAGGGATGCTGTCAAGCTGAAGAAAGAGTCCTATCAGGTCTTTTTGGCCTGTGGGACTCCAGAGGCAGCTGACGGATACTGGTAGTCAAAGCGGAACGCGGCTCGGGTGGTCGCCAAGGCAAAAACCCAGGCATGGGAGGAGTTTGGTGAGACCATGGAGCAAGACTTTCGTACAGCTTCGAGGAGATTCTGGTCCACCATCCGGCGCCTCAGGGGGGAAAGCAGTGGGCGACCGACACTATCTATAGTGGGGACGGTGTGCTAGAGAGATAGTTATTGATAAAAACCTCATCAGACACCAGTATGTAGGAGGTTACCGGACGTCAAAACCACAATACTCAGAGATTAGTAGCTTCCTCTGAGTTTGGCTTCCCCGGTGATGAGATGCAACCTGGGGTCTGCAGGTTAGGTGTCCAGGGTGGATGTCTGAGAGGTGAAGTAGCTCTGAAAAGAGCTGTTGTGTCAGTAATCACTTGCAGCGTCTCAGAAAGGTTTTGACTTAAGGTCAAAGGAGATTGTTTTAAAAGAGGCTTCTTTCCCGATTTGGCCGAATCGGGGCTCAGCTGGAAACTGGATTAATCGGGAAGCAAATCCTGTTTTAATGAACTACTTTGTTATGATTCCTGGCCATGTTTGGCCAATCAGTATTTGACACGTTTCTGAGTATTTACCAACATCCCTCAGAAAGCCACGCCTTCTTTCCGATACAAAAATTCTTTACCTTAATGAGTAACTTATTGTAATGTGTATGAGTGTAAACAATGATTAATTTGTTAAATCAAACACATAGTGATGTGTGATATAAATGGATCGTTGTAAGAACAATATTCATTTCAAATTCATTGATTTAAGCACAAATTATTCAAACATTTGATTTAAACATCTTGTTCATTCATCACATATGATTGTTTTAAGCTTATGAGTTGTAAGAGTCGTGGAGTCTTCACTTGTTCAGAGGGCAGAATGTTGACGCATTCATGCAGAGGGTGTAGGACATTGGGAGAGAATGTGTTGTCTTTATGGAAGGTCAACACGCGCTGAGCAGAACCTGAGCAGTGGTTTTATGTTGTAGATGAAAGGTTATTATGTTGATCAAGATATAGGTGAAAATTGACCCTTTTGGACGTTACATAGTGTTCAAGCCGATGGCCCCCTCCATGAGGGCGCCACAGCTCAGCAGAACATCATTATAGCTTCTTCTGGGTAGAAAAACACTTAGAGAAAAAATAAAGTTAACAGCTGAAACATAACTATTCATAACTTTTACAGAATCTTCAGAATGGCTGAAAATCATTTTATATTTGCTAAATTTGAGCTTGTAACAGGAAGTCATCGTGAGACGCAGTCGAAAAGGATTTAAAGGAAAATCAGCTCGGTCAGCAGCAACAGCTTAGGCATACTTGATGGGGTTTCCTGCTAACTGGTAAAAGCTTGAATCATCTCTAATCTTAATGTGTTTAGCAGAGTTTGTTCAGCATCTGACCCTGCAGATAGAGAACATGGATCTCGTTGTCATCAGTGCTATCTCTCTCTGGAACTCTGAGGACATACAGTGCATCTTATGTACACATGACTTAAATCAGCTCTCTGCCTCATGTGCAGAGTCCACAATCTTTTGATGATGTTGCTCAATCAGCTTTCGGCCTGTTGTTAAAAAAAAACACCTCACTCATAGAAAGTGCTGAAAAGCTGACATGTGATGCTTGGGAATTCCAAAGCTGGGCTCTTGTGTTTATTGTGATAATATCATAAGTTTGGGTTTCTGCAATCATCATCTCCAAACAGTCCAGTTCTGTGACTGCTCCACTGATGGGATCCGACAGCAAACAAAGGGAAGAAAACCATACACTGATATGTGAACCCGAGAATCAAGCAGTCCTGCTGATTTCTCCCGAAAGGCTCAGCTACAATTGCACAAGACAGGCCTTGTGAGGAACCACTGACCCATCGACTGCTGTGATCCATGTCTGACTGACATCAATACACATTCATCTGTGCTTGTTTCACCTCGAGCCGGTCGACAGCGGCCTACAGCGGGTTGGCATGAAATCTGGATGGACGACAGGCATCACTTTGTCTTCCGCCTTCGCACAATCGCTGATATCAAACACCAGAGGTGCTGAGCCGATGGACCTTTTGCTTTGTTGCCAATTAGTCTCCGCTAAAGAGCCTGAAATCTCAGTGTTCGGTATCTGATGTGTAAAAACCCCCATTTACACTCTGATTTAGGGAAAAGGAGGAATACCTCGGATGAAATGTACAACCGTCCTGCTTCTGCGCTGCAACAGTTTGAATAATCCACTAATTGATCCATGTCTTTGACTCTGAGCAGCACCAGCAGTTGATGTAGAGTGATATTTCCTAATATTTTTATGCTCAGATTATTACTAATAAACCCAATTCGGACCTATTTCATTTGCATTTTTTAAACAAACAAAAAAAATCACATTTTTGTAGTCCATGCATGACTTTTTCCCTTGTCTTTAGACGATTGGACACCTCTATCCGAAAGGCATAGTTTAGATTATTTTAAGTAGAGTTCAAACATTAAAAATAATGAAAATTACCCGTCATGTGTGGCTTCATGAACAGCCTCAGGAGTGTGACGGTGCAATGAGAACATTTGAATCCAGGTTTAAATAGTTTGATGTGAAATGTAGATTTGATTCCACTTATTTATGTTGCAACATTCAATATTTAGACTCACCACACATTATCTGATGTATTTACATACGTTTAGATATTGTTTTTTAAAGCTAAATGCATCTTTGTACAACCATGCGCAGCAGAGGTGGTTAAATGTCTCCACAGCTTATGCATTCATTTTGATTCAAAAATCATGTTCAACAGGTTTATTCTGCGGTCAGAAATGAAACCAGGGGGAAGAGACCCCTTGTGTAACGTGTCAGAGTTGTTTGATGGCAGGATGCTGTGCGGGAGAACACACGCAGGAAGAAAGTTGTTCTTCTGTCACTTTATTTGTTCTGGAAAAGTCCCAGCAGAGGGGGTTTCCATTCAGGAAGCCTCTGAACGTTATTGAGGATGCGATTGCTGCTGAGTGGCAGCATCGCAGGATGGAGCTGGATCCTCAGACTGATGAAAGCTCTAATGGGCCTGTCTCATGTATCAGCGATGGATGGACGGCCAGCTCGGAGGAGACGTTTCGGAGAGTCCAGCAGTCAGATGGATTTCAGAGGAAAGACGCCCTCTTCTTGGGCTGCTGGGATGTGCAGCGATGATTTATTCCTAAAAGAGCAGTCTCTCTCTCTCTCTCTCTCTCTCTCTCTCTCTCTCTCTCTCTCCCTCTCTCTCTCTGGTTGGTTTTAGCCAATCGACGCATGGTGACGATGAGCAAAAGGCAGGATCTAGCCTTGCTTCATCATCACATTTAACACACCCACCCAGATTCCCCACATGCTACAAGAGGCTCTTTCTTCCCTCCTCCAGCTGTAGTCTTTTAGACGCTGGCCGAGCCCGCTACCTGCGCACATCGCTCCTCTGCTTGTTTTCCTGTCTTCAAAACAGAAGAACGCCTGCAGGACTGCAGCAACGAAAGCGAAAGAAGCGCGCATTTCCGGGGATTTTCCCTACAAAACTCTGAAACGTGACGAGCAGCACTTCTTGTTATTTTTCTTTTATTTTGATTGTGAGCCGCTCTCTCTGGCTTGGATCGAGGTTGCGCGCAGTCGGATCTCTTGGGAACGTGGACGCACAGCCGGTGGTGGGTCCGGATCTCTCCTCTGCGTGATTTCGGCGGCAAAAGAGGATGAGGCTTGCGCAAACCGCTGGTTGGTCTGGACCAGCTCGACCTGTTTTACCTGGACTCTCTCGGGTGACTTTGCGCCTTTAAGATCTGAGACTGAAGCAGCCGCTGATCGCGCAGGACTCTGATGTTAGAAACCCAAAGGCTGAACGCTGAATCCTTTACTCAAGACTGCAAGTGAGGATGGGTCCTTCCTGTTTAATGTGTACTTCATTAGACTGGTGTCCAGTCTGATAAACATCATCAGCGATGTGGTCAGCCTGTTCCTCTGCGTTCTGATCGTTTGCAGCAAATACTCTCATCTGCTCAAAAGGGAGACCATGAAGATGATCCTGCTGCGCAGATTCCGGGTTCTGATCCTCATGGTGTTCCTCATCGCGTGCTCCATGCACATCATGATAGACCTTCTACCCAAGCTGGAGAGCCACGGCAACAGCGGCTGCTCCTGCCCCCACACGCCGAGCGAGCAGCCCCAGAGCTGGGGTAAGCAGGGCTGGCCTAACAAGCACACCCTCCGGATCCTCCAGGACTTCAGCAGCGATCCCGGATCCAATGTGTCCTCCCACTCCCTGGAAAGGAGCCCCGTTACAGTGGACAGGGCGCAGGCGCTCGGTGGGATGGAGCAGCGCGCGGACAGGAAGAGACAGTTCATCCATGACGCGACACGGTCCAAGCCGACCAAGGGGTCAAGGTTGTCGGTTCTGTTTGAGCATCCCCTATACAAAAAGTCCCCGCCGCCTCTGACGGACGAGGACACGCTGTTCACCGTGAACACGGACATCAGATTTGACCCCAAAGCGGCGGAAGACGAGGCATGGTAACGTGTTCCTTTAGTTTATTAATCCTTCAGCTGACATGTTCTGGTGCGCCTGGCGCTGCCAAAACCTCCAACCCACCCTGCTGTCCTCCGGTCTGATGACACCACAGCTGTAAACATAAACAAACGAGCTTTACGCATCAAACACGTGACCCAGTCAGGAATATTTTGGCTGCAACACTTCAGATGCAGACAAAACGTGCATTTTTAGACATTAATGGGATTTTAATGTCCAGTATAAATCAGTTCCCAGTTAAGACCCGTAGTTTGGACAGGCCAGACGAAGCTGGCCCTTTAATGGTTTAACTGGTGTTTTCATATTAGTGTAAAAAGTATCTTTTTGTGTGACTTTAAAAAGTTCAGGATATCATCATCTTGGCCTGTTCGGGACACATTTAGACAAATCAAGAGATTCAGGCTTCTATCACCTTCTCCATCCCTCACTGCTACAGGGCTTGTCACCCAAGCTTCCACAGAACATTTTGCTGGAAAGGTTCTGAGTCAAAACGATCTCCTACATGAGAGTTCACCCTAAGAGCTTCCTGTCCTCTCAGTCCCAGGAGTTCTCTCATGTCTGATTTTAGTTGTTTGTCTGAAGTTTACTTCTTAAACAATGTTCACGTCTGACTCCTGGGTCCGTTAGAGGCAGGTGTGATGTGACTCAGATGAAAGTATATTTTCAAAAGTGTAAAATCTAAAAGTAAAAATAAAATCACACAAAGCCTTTATAACAGGGTGCAGTGGTGTCCTGGCACTACTGTCGCAATAGACGGGTCAGCTTAGACCCAGGTCACCTGTTTCAGCTGAATAAATATGAAGAGCAATGAAAATACATCACAGAACCATGCGTGGATGATACAATCCCGTAGGGTGTCAGAACGTTAGGTGCTTTCATTTATTATCAAAACATAAACAAATTCACTCCGTCCGGATCGCTGAATTCATCTGGATGTTTTTGTCTTTGTAGTTTTTTTGTACAATAACAAGCTGAAATAAGGTTAGAGTATCAACGTTATTTCATAAGGAGAGGAAGTAAAAAGTCTGCTAACAGTACTTTCTACTGCAAAGTATTTGTACTTTGCTGACACCTTTGCATGGGTGGTTGCCATGGTAAACCAAATGAGCCACTTTCAGTAGCTTCAACATTTCTTTTGATCTCGCGTCTCTCTACTCTCCTTATTTCCTCTTTGCTTTTCTTTAAATTGGATGTTTTACAAAATGTCTTCAGTAAAATTCTAGTTTCTTCTTCCTCGTCCCATCCAGGATGGGGGAGGGCACTGTGGATGAGTCCAGCCCAGCGGGGGAGCTGAAGGCCGAGTCCTACCCCAACTGGCTCCGCTTCCACATTGGGATTAATCGATACGAGCTGTACTCCAGACACAACCTGGTCATCAATGCTCTCCTGAAGGACCTGGTGACCCAGCGAATCACCAGCGTGGGTGAGTCTCAGGAATCTGCACTAACACACCTGATGGCATCCGGTGGGAGGGCGCACAGATGGAGGGTGAAGAATAAACTCTACTCACAGGATTTTAAACTTTTTTCTAAGGGCCTTGAGTCATCATGACCTACATTCTGAGTGGGCTGGAACCACAATCAAAGCCAAGCACAAACAGATTATTTCAGAGTTCTTCCTGCAGACATGATTGTTTGATGACTTCACAACATTTCTCTCTCACCTTATTCATCATGGTTTTACTCTCTCCGCATGCTTCACCCGTCCTCCATCCTAACCGTGCTCCGTCCAACTCTCCAAATGCATCACTGAGCGAAGCGTGTTTCAGGGATTTCTGAACCACACTTCCAGGAGTGTTTCTGCATACAGGTGTAATTACCTTTGCAGATGTAAATAGCTTCCTGAACGGTCTTTGTTCAGAGAGCGAGAGGTATCGCCCGCCAACGCTAACCTTAATATCTAGCTTCAGTGCAGCTACTCAATGCCATACCAGTACGGGACAGAAACATAGGTGCTATCTTTAGATGGGTGCATGGATCAATATTTTACCTGTACAGGAATCCCAAAGAACAAAAACCGTTGTCCTTCGCCTTTCCTCTTGTCCCGGAGGAAGATCGTCGACATCGTCTTATCCAACACCAACATTCACATGGAGGCACAGCAGATGTTGCGCACCAGAACACTTTTGTTAATTTAGTTAATAAAAAAAAAAGTTGAAATCTGCTTCAAGCTGTAAACGGCGAAGAGGTCAGAGAGGTGAACTGACTTCTGGGGAAAGCAGGAAACATCTCGAGTCCTCTGAGGGGAACATTTTGAAAGTGCTGGTACATCAAAACGGTGCCAGGAAGACCCGACCCACGGATGCACAGGAAGTGCTACACTGCTGTTGGTGATCTTCAGTAATATACAGTAAATAACTGTAGTCTGAGCTGCAAGGATTCACTCGGAAATGAGTTTTAAGATGACAGCTTTTGTTTTGGCTACGCAGGCCCTCAGCTCCCCATTCCTGTTGGATATAATCTCCATTTCTTCAAACAAAGGTTGCTCTGGGAAACCAAGACAGATCTTTCACTCAGAAACACACTTCAAACATCTGAAACGTATAGCATAAAAGCTAGCATAGGCTTCATGGCCTTTTGGTAATTTAATGAGGCTTCTCACAACTTTAAACCAAACCTCTAATGAAACGGTCCAAATGACACAAAGAGCTTTCCGTTATGGGAGCTGTTAGTCAAGAGTCAGAAGAGGAGGCGATAAACAGCTGACAAGCGAGCACACCCCCCATGCACAAACACACGACAGTGCGGGCAGATAGAAGCGGGCTGCAGGCTATCGCACAGCTCAGTCTCATCAGCCTGCACACTCCTGCCTTTACAAGGCCAAGTGAGTAATAAAACACAAACATTCCTCCCTCACGGATTTTCCACCAAGCGTCTCAGAGCCTGAGAGGACTCGTGGTCTTGATGCAAATCGCACAGCCGCGCTGCAGACAGAACCGTGTCAAACTTCTGATTTCATCGACCAGAGAACGGAAGACCTGCTGAGGGTGTGTGCAGGTATCGGCCTGAGGTGATAACCCGTGCACGCTGGGCCAGATGCATCAAGTCTATTTGAAATAGTTTATTTTTTCTTCCTGGTGGACGGGGTTGTCTCCCCTTTTGGCTGCGTTCAGCTCACACATTCCAGGAGTGCTTGTCGACTCAAGGTCTCCCATCCAGCCGCGTGGGGGGACAAAAAATCAAGATTTCTGATTCCAGGTTTATCTGCCAACAACAAAAATGTAACTGGCCTATAGCAGAGATTAAATGCTTATCTGGGAGGAGGATTAGCTGTTTATGAAACACCCCTCCATGCTCGGTCACTTAACAGAAGGATGCATTTATTTCTTTTCACTCAAGATTGTGCCCGATTCTTTCAGTTTCTCCCTGTTTTTGCTCTCAGCCTGGGTGGATGGTGGAAGCAGTTCTTAGCATCTCTTTGCCAGCTAAATACATGCTGGTTCAGTAATTACAGAGTCTGAACACAGGCCCTGGGCAGAACACCAATAAAAGCCAACAGCAGTTGCCTATTATCTAAAGTTAAGGATAGGAATGCTTAGATCTATTATAGACTGTAACATCTTCTCTGCAGCCTTGGTCAGTGGAGACATGGCGTGCAAAAGCAGCAGATATGATAACGCTTTCTGCAGCCGATGGCAGCAATTGGACCATGTACAAACTCTTGTGCAACATCTAATGAAAAATCAGTCGTTTATTGTTTGCAGCTTCTGCATGCACGAGTTCCCTTTATTCCAAATGAATCAAACCTCCAACAAGTTTGCAGCATGTGAGGTCAGACAGAGTCGATCTTCTCACTTCTCTTTTTTTTTCCTCTCTGTCAACAGTTTGCTTGTCCGCATGATTCCCAAATGTAAAAATAAATTAAAATCATTGATTGAGAAAAGACTGTTCTTTGGCAAAACGCCACCAAAACGCAGCTACCAATCGATCAGCGTAGCTGGAACATGTGCTGTTTCTGTTAAATTCAGCGCTTTAGACCCCACTGCATGGCGTTCTCCCTGCACCAAGCTCCGTCCCAGGAGGACCTTCAGCCTGCATCGTCGTGCCGGAGAAAGAGAGGAAACATGAAGGAAGGAAAGATGAATAACAAAAGGAAAAACACAAAAAGGGAGAGAGACCGCTGAGAATTCAGGGACAGAGTAAACAGCAGAGGAACAAAGAGCATCAGCTAAACACTGGCTGTGCTTCAGCTGGAGCCTCACTATCGCTTCCTGTCAAACAAACAGCAGCTGTGACATCAGATGTCAGTCCTCTTCAGAGCTCCAGCACGACGACGGTCAGACGCCCAAGCTCACACGTTAGCTGTGTGAGTCAAAATCAATCCAATCAGAGCTTCGATGACACTTCTAACATCAGAAGACACCCTGCTTCTGTTTCATTAGGAGATAATGGTCTGCTACGTTCTTATCGGACCTCTTTAGAAGTTTTATTAACCTTTTTGAAACACATACTTTTGTATACTAGTTCAAGTTGATTAACTGAGATTAATATAAAACCATATAAAACAGAGGTAACACTTTACCATAAGGGTCCCTATTAACGCTAGTGCATTATTAGGCATTAATAACCTATTAATTAAAGTATTAACAACTGCTTATTAATAATGTTAATATCAAGAAATGCACTACTAAGCAGACACCCCCCCCCCGTCCTAATATCAGGCAAATTAATAAAGGAAATTTAATGTTAAGTGTTGACATAACAGAAATAAATCTGGAGTAAATTTTAGAGTTTATCCAGCTTCTTATAGCAAACAAATATTGTTAATTGCAAATAAAAACAAATTAAATTGCATTAATGTATTTTATTGCTTCATAAAAAAGTTTATTTTCTAAGATGAACCTCACCACAATTATTTGTTCCACGAAAAGCACCAATAAACAATGTTATGATCGTTTTACAAGCTCCTTTTTCCAGTGACAGAGTGGTGATTAAACAAAAGATTCCAATTAGAAACTAAACCATTCTGGTATCATTTGCAGCCTCCTGTATTCAGATGATGGAGACACTAAAATAAACAAAACCATGCGGGCACATAAAGGCTTTTATTTGATGATGATATTAATAATATATTTATACAATATTCACAGTGTAACCTTCAAAACAGGTAAATAGTGTATGCAAGAGGATCAGGGCCACTGAAAATAAAATGAAGAGAAATTTGAATCTCTGACTAATAATCCTAAGAAAAAAGTCAGAAATCTATTTCTTTCTTTCTTTGTTTTTTTCTTTCCAGTGGCCCCAACCCTCTTCTGTACCTTTGTTTTCCTGGAAAAAAAGGGTTAAATTTCAGAATGAATGTTAAAACACAATAAATGGTGCGTAAAAGATTATTATTATTTTTTTACTATTGCTGTAAAATGCTGTCATCTTAAAGCAGAAGTTTGAATAACTCCTTTTCTGCTCATTTTATTTATTTATCGCCTCACATCAGGAAAATGTTCACAAAAATATTTACTGCGACTGTAACAGTTCCGTTCACACGAGACTGTTCTTTATTTAAAATAATAGATTCTTCAGTCATAATGACTCCATTTTTTAAAATCAAAGTGGCAGTAGTGGGCTTCCATACACTTTCCTTGTATCCAAAACCACATTTATTTATGTATTTATTTATTTGTTTGTTTGTTTACCTACATCAGAATAGCCTGTGTACATCTCAGTCTTTTTCACTATTTTTTCCTAAAACATTCTATTTTGTCCAACCAGGTTTCTTTTACCGTGGTAAAGAATTGCATTTCTTTGTGATGGTGTGAAAAATAAACTGGTATCATGTTAGCACTAGAATAAACTTGTGAGAAGATGTTTTAGCTGGAGCACCCACCCTGAGCTCGGTGCAGAGGCATCAGGGAGATTTCCCTTTTCCTTTGACTGTTAAGGTCTTGTTCACTTAACAAATTATCTCAATTAAAGGACATTTTTATTGTCTTAGAGGCGTTTGGCTGCATTCAGCAAAATAAATCCAAATGAACCAGAGAGACTATAAGCCCATTTTGCTAATTTCCTTTAGGATAACAGCAGTTTACACGTAGCTTCTGTCAGCTTCCATCATGCTCATGTTGTTGTTTTGATTCTGGCAGCGATGAAGTCTGGAGGCACTCAGCTGAAGCTCATCATGACCTTCCAGAACTACGGACAGGCTCTGTTTAAACCCATGAAGTAAGTCTCCCTCCTCTTCAACACCAATGTAGTCTGCCTCGCTAAGAGATCGGTGTCAGCGCTACTTCCTGTATGACAGAGTGATGCTTAGGTGATATTTTAGTGCACGACACCGCCTGCGAAGCTTTCCTCCCTCCTCTTTTACATCTCACCATCTACTGATTCTCCTCAGTGTCATTTCCTGCTTCGCCTCTTTGGACGATATCAAATCGCTTTCATTTGAGCACAGCCTTGGTGTTGGATTGAAGGCTGTGTCAGAGCCAGATGTTGAATGGGCATTTCACCTCACAGGGCTTTCAGGTGACACATCACATTCTTTACAGCGTGTGCCGGAGGTCCTCCTCTGCCATCAGGCCGCTCCTGTTGTGTCATCGTAACGCTGATTTATCTGAGAGGTTTGCTGCTTTCATAATCTCACACCATCCTGTTGGAAATGGGAGGTTTTGCTCAGCCCCCAACTTGTGTTGCTGATTTTTGCTGTTAGAGTCTACGCCGGTGGTGTGTCGATGTGAGCGTTGCACTTAGATGCTTTAAGGCCTGAGGATGAAATCGTTGGTTGGCTACCTCCTTTGGTTCTTGGTTGGAGTTGAAGATGAGTGATTTAACAGCCATGGTGCCCAGAGGATCCATCCTACTGGTGATCCATATAGCTGTAATGTCAAAATGTTCACATTTTCACTGATTTATCTCATAGACTCAATAAGGTGGAACACTGATAGAGCCCAGAGGAAAAATTCCAACGCTTCAGATGATTACATGATTTTTCTTCTGTTGCATTTCGAGTGTTAAACATTTGATAAACTGCTGTTTTTTAGATCACAGATTATAAAAGGTGTTGTAAACCTTCCTCAGAGGTTCTGGTCCATGTTGACATGACATCATCACACATTTACATCCATGATGAATCTCCTGTTTCACCACAACCCAAAGGTTCTGGGCTGAGATCTGGTGACTGTGGAGGTCATTGGAGTCCAGTGAACTCACGGTCATGTTCTAGAGACCAGTTCGAGATAATCTGAGCTTTGTGACGTCGTGCTTTATCCTGCTGGAAGTAGCCATCAGAAGATGGGTCCATGTGGATGGACATGGTCAGCATCAATACTCAGGTAGGCTGTGGTTTAAACCAGGCTCAGGTGGTCCTAAGGGGGCCAAAGGGACAAGGACATATCCTAGACACCATTAAACTATCAGCACCATGCTGAAGCATTAATACAAGTTAGGATGGATCCATGTTGTCACATTGGTGATACCAGATTCTGACCCAGCCATCTGACAGTTGCAGCAGAAACTGGCCTTGGTTTACAGGGAACTGTTTCAAAACCCCTAGTTGGTTAGTTGCCCTCTGACGCCATGGCTTTTACTAATCATATTAATGTGAGAGCAAAGTGTTGTATGTTTCTAGTTAATGTTGGTAAGTAGCGGTTAACTGATGTGGGCTTTTCTTAGGCTGATGCAAATGTTTAGAGATCAGGTCAGCTGATGGCTGATGAATAATTATGATTTCTGTTTAATATCAGAAAAAGCCTGACAGATCCACGCTACACTGAACACGAACACTCATGGACTCACTCATCTTGACTCATGACAGGGAAGGCTGTCGTTGGTTTAGCATCCGGGAAACAGGAGAGGATGTCGCTAGTCACCAGTGTTTCCTCTGTGGGGGCTGGCTGCCCCGGGGGCAGCGGCTGGCTGTGGCGGCCGGGGTGCTTCTCGTGCATCCTCTCGCCCAGGCTACTGCTGCAGAACCTGCTGCTCCCGGTGCAGTTGACTCCTTTGATGGCGTTTCCGTCTTCCTTGTGCTTACTACACCTGCACTCAGCCAGCAGCCCTTTCTCTTATGTGTGTGTGTGTGAGTTTGCATCTGCTTGGGATGGGATTGAGGGTGGGAGGAGGGAGATACAAAGGGGATCTCGTATGTGAATCTGTGTGGGAGGGGTGGGAAACCGGCTGCTGCTTGTTTGTTTTTAATATTGTAAAGCTCTTTGAGCTGCATTTGTAGGAAAAGCGCTTTATGAATAATTTTTATTTTTAGTAGAAGCTAACCATTAGCATTAGCAACTCCACCACACAGCAGAACTCCTCCAGGCTTGTGTTATTTGTGGAGGTAAAACATCCACGCTGCAGAGCAAACAGAGTCAGTGGGGGTTGCGTTGCTGTTAGCCAATCAGAGGCAAGATGCATGTTGTTGTCTGCTCACCTCTCCTCTGGCTGACTTACATTTCCTGAAACAGGAGTGCCAAAGCTTTTTTCTGACAAAGATCGCCTCTCAAGACATTCACTTTTACTAGAGACCACTACAGATACGTCAAAAACGAGTGAAGTTTATCATGAAAGAATTCCTAAACATTTGAAGTCATTTCTACTCAGTCTGAAATCCAATAATGTTCTAAAGCCTGATCCTGTAGGAGGTTGCAGGAAGCCGTACCGTGTCTCCAGCCGTTATTTGATGAGGGACCTGAGGTCAAACCTGCAATTTTTTCTCATACAAGACAATGGTCCTTCCAACTCCACCACTGATACACACACATATATATAAATTGAAAACCATCAGGAAAATAAATACATTTCTGAATGTGGTTCTGTCGTCTTTTCCTTAAATAACACATATAGTAGTTTTTTAAATAACTGCTAGGAGCTTTAGGTTTCGGCTACGAAGCCCACACTCCCTGCCTCATCACCTCCTAATCCTATTTTGGTTCTGAATCATTGAACTACACAACATATCATTAATGTCACACAGAGAGGTGAGGAGCAGCAAAGGTAGTGTGTTCCTCTGCGTTTTATCCTGAGATTACTGCTGAAAATCCTGTAATACACCCTGGATTAAGAACTGAAGTCTGTCTCAAAGATACATGGAAATAAAATAAAAACAGCCAAAGCCAGAACAAATGCTGAGGAGCAGGAGAAGTGAACTTGATCTGATGATAACATGTGACTTTATCACAAATAGAAGCTCTAATTGAAATAATAATAATAATAATAATAATAATAATAATAATAATAATAATAATAATAATATAATAAAACAGACAACAGAACATTTACCAGTTCAGCAGCTTATTATCTAAACCTTGGTGCTAGACAGAGAGAAATCTGCATGCAGATGATGAACGTGTGCACCCCGAGCATGAATGCAGCACAGACATGCATGCACCTGATTCCTGATTACAAGATTCCTCTAAACATCATCACTGTTTCTTACCACACTTTAGTATATGCACACAGTTATCCGCGGGCCTTTTACATTCTTCTTTGGAACACTGAAGGCTGTGTGTCATTGTTTCTGGTAAAACAAAAACACCCCAGTGAGCTAAATACACAATTTCAATGTGAAATTTAGTTCTAGCCTGCGCTTGGATGGGAGCCTTTATGGATACATTTGGTTCAAGCTGTTTGTTCAAAATAACTCTGTGTTTAACCGTAACAAATAACTCCAACTATGGAAGACACGACTCGATAAAATTGCCAGAGCACTCCTAGTGCTATTCTATTCTATTCTATTCTATTCTATTCTATTCTATTCTATTCTATTCTATTCTATTGAGACGTCAACATTGGCAGAATACAACTTTTCTGGCTCTTTTCCATTGGTCGGTATCACACTTTGTTTATTTGTATTTGTAGTGATAATTGAAACAAGTCTAACTTTTTGTGTACATTTCTAATTGTGTGTTTCATTAGCACCTTACCAATATGTTATTAATTAAAACAAAACCATTACAAAGCATTGTTAGTTATTTATAATTCAGTTATAAAACACAATTTGGCAATTGTATGCTTCACAACTGCCTAATTAAAGGGAGACGCCGTTTTAATATTTTTAAATCATTTTCTTGAGCCAGCGCGTGCTAAAACGACCCTTTACTGAGTTAATGAAAGGCCAGCCCCCCTGTGGGCCAGAATATTCCACTTGCAGCTTCAGACTGGCAGCAGCTCTGTTGGGAGTTAGAAAAAACTGAGCTGACAAACCTCGTGCTGAAGTCTGCTTTCAGCCCATTTCCTGCATGTTTTGGATCACAAACACAGCTGATTTGTTTCATTTAGAGATGAATCACTCCTGTAGACACTAAGGAAGGCTGGGGAGACGTTTCGGCTTTTAGATTAAAGTGCTAAATTATGAACGCACAGTGAGGAGATTGGTTTTACATTCGGTTCTACAAATGGACACTAGGAGGTGCTCAAAGCAAGCCAAAACTGCCTAGTCTACCTTTCAGTTTGTAAAAATCAATTAGTAATTGCTTATTATTTAATAGTTTTTCTTTTATAAAGGTAGTCTTGTGGTGTATTGTCTCTGCACATGGAAATAGGATAAATCAAAGTAGGGATTCTGACCAAATTCTAATCCCTGCAGCTCCAACCTAAAAATCCAACATGGCTGCCTCACACATGTGATAACATGCTTTATTTCACTTCTGTTGGTTTGTGTCTCAGTAACTGAGTCACACACAAAGGATTATGCAACCACTAAAGTGTTTAAATGCTGAAACAAACGTCATCACTGACTTGTAACACTAACAGCTGTTAGCCTGGCTAATGAGCAACATCATCACATCCTACTGGTTTCTGGCTTGTTACTGGAACATCGTGTCAAGTCTGATGTCATTTCACAATTTGAGTTTCAACTTATAAGAAAATTGGAAGCATTGCAGCATTATTGCAAAGTGTTACCCAAGTAGTAGGATTTTAGTTTGAGTGTTAGCTTTTGCATGTTAGCAAATACAACAGCGATGCATCGATCTTGAATCTGACCAGCATCTTTAGTGCTCACTTTGCTAAATGCAGATGTGTAATGAACATTTACATTCTGCTTTTGCATGTCAACTAAACGGTATATGACTATTAGATGTATTTTAAATGTTTTTTCTACCCAATAATGCCCAGTGGAAATGAATGTGGCTACTTGAATCTAATGAATACATTAATCTTTTTGAAATGTATGTTATGTTTCATTTTATGACAGATTTAGCTATGTAATTCAGTCTTTCTGGTAATAATTCCCA